GTGACGTTGCACTAGATGGGTATACCCATCTAGTGCAACGTCACTACACGGCATAAGTTTCCATTATTTGCCCTTCCATCATGAGCAGCCTCCCAATACAACCTGCACTGCCGTGCTCCTCTAGAAAGGAATGGCTATATGAAAATCTCTTTCGAAAGCGGGAACTTTTTCATTTCGGTTGAGGCGTTCATCTCAAAACAAGAATTACAAAAAAATTACCATTGCAGTTTCAAGTTTTTTCGTGTGAATCAGTATTGCGCGCCCATCTGCCGATGCAGGGGCACAAACAGTTAAAAGGTCATCAAAAAGATCGCGAAGGCGGTAAATGAAATGCCGATTATGAGCAGCTCTATCGTAACTTCCCACACTATGATTCTAAGGCACACCTATGATAACGATAAATCTCCTGCTCTCCCTTTTTTTTTCAAAAAATAGCGGCTGATTGACTATATCTGTACTAACCACAGACAAATTTTCTTGACGACATACAGAAATGGGATGTACAAACAAACGACAAATATCGAGATGTCTAAAAAAAANAAAAAAAACCACATTTTCTTTCAGAGCTTCAACCTCTTTAGCACAACCTCTTTCAACGCACTTTACTGTGTGCAGCGGGATAGTCTTGTCCTTGACACGCACATCAAAAAATTTGTTTTTAGTAAGCCAGGCCCCCGCTTGGTGGACGACTTTATTCGGAGAGCGGCTCAGGGCATGTCCAGACTAAATAATGGCATCACTTTTCGTTCAAACTCCGGGGAATGAGACGAGAAACCTACTTCTTGCAAATGCGGCCAACTGTTATGGGTTTTTTCTTTTTTTGGTTTCCATTCACTTAGCCATTCGATCGTTTTAATCTAATATGTAGAGGTTGTAGACTTCAAATGACGATTGTAGTAGTGTAGGCAGTCTTTGACTTATACAGCACAAGTGTGGTGCACGTACCAAATAAATTTCCAAAAAGTCACATGATACCATCGTGAGAACAGACCAGCGTACCCTCAGTTGGAATTAGTGGCTCCCATGATTCTAACAGCTTGCTGATTCTTGGAACGAAACAAATCGGGAGCAATCCGCGACAGTAAATTAGCAAGGGACACTTGTCGAAAATGCTCGGCACTGGGAGACATGCGAAAAGCGCTGCCTCACTCACTACAAAGGGGAGGGAAGGGGCTCACACTTTACCAGTCGTGCTATAACCCTATTTAAAACGAAATCTCCGTCGATAAAAATTATTTGAATCGCTGTTTCGAGTCATAGCACGAGCGGTTCTATTATAATTGGACCCACTAAATGGTTAAAGAGCGCTGCAGTGTCTTACCTTTGAAATATCAGTGAATTGCTGTCTCGTCAGTCGCTAGAACATCTTCTGGAGCTTCGCTGGCCCTGGTGATTGATTAATTGCCCATGAGGAGACCTCTGAATACATCTCTGAATACACTTGACATTTTCACTTTCTCAGTCGATTTTTGCAGATCTGGACATCGTCAACTACGAAGGATTCGATTTAAGGAGATTATGACCTTCACATCGCTACCAGCGCCGACTACCATCCATCCTGCACAGTTCCTTGTTTTGAAACGAACCTCCTTCTTCTAGTACCGTCTCATTACTGCGCGACCTTTGCCTGTGCACTTTTTTTTGTGTTCCTTTCAGACTTGCATACTCGAATTATACAGTAGCGCTCAAGAGTCTTCGNTGGAATGGTTCTTCAGCCGTACTTTTCAGTCGTAACTCCTTTCTCACTGGATCTGATCATGCGAAATTTCTATGTTTGGAGCGTGGGTGTGCTGTGAATATTTACCACTATTAATTTCCAATCTGACCATGTTCCAGATATACCAAAGGGCTTGAACTCAAAATTGACTGAAAATACAGATGATGGTCCTTCTAGAATCTCTTTCCTTTTTGTCATGTCTAAAGTGTACGAGCGGTAATGCCGAGCACAATAGATGAGAAAAACGCTCATACAGTGCCAATAAGAGGAGACGTCAACAACTTTAGTTTCAGCAACATCTGCTACCGCAACAAACACCTTGCTCTACCTGTAGACATTGCAGCTTCGCAGTCAAATAGTGTTGGTTAGGGTGAAATCTGCTCTAGTTAAACTTACCCAAATTCCGCGCAATTTGGGCTACTAAGAAAGAAGTTATGAGCGAAAAAGCGTCAAAGCATTTCACCGAAGACTTTTGAGCGCTTCTGTATATTGTTATATGCTTATTCTCACCCTGTTCCTTCGTGGCGCGGGTGTGCTAATGAAGATAAATATTCACCTGTGGTACCTGTGGTTGTAAATTATTGTTTTAGTTGCTCCAGTGATTTCAATTTGATACACTTGCCTTATTTGCTTACCAGGTTTAGTTATTTGAGGGGCCTGCTAGATGGTGGTCTTTCTTAGTTGAATTCCTCTTTGACTTCTTCACCTGGGACCCAAGCCATCGTTTACGTAGAGCGTTAGA